GTTGGCTCGCTAGCCGTTTAAAATTTCGCGCGACTTCCGCCCAAGTCGAAGAGCTTTGAGCACGCTGCAGAGTGCCTCGGAAGTTATCTGACTTGCGGCTGCCGATCGATAGACTGATCACCTATCGATCTTTCTTCCCGTCACCGAGCGCAACCCCAGATGTACCCCTTTCCCCGCCGGCTTCGAATTGCGGACGGAATAACTGGCTTGGGCCACGCCAGCTGGAACAACTCATGTGGTTGTTCAGACGTCCGGACCACCTGCGTCGTGATTGCAAGCGGCGTGAGTAAAGTTTTTTGCAACCAATAAGTTGTGTCTGCCTCTCCATTCACCAGCCCGCCCTAACGTACGACCAATTTCTAACGTAACTCGAGTCGGCTTTGGCAGTCCGAGACAAGCAGTAGACCTAGAAGTGGACCAGAAGCACTTCCGGTCCACTTCCAGGTCTGCCACCAAGCACGCGGAGGGGCCCTCCCTTGCTCCTGTGGGATGCTCCATCCACCCCACCATCTCAGCATTCATGAGCCACACCTGGTATCTCGAGGTATGTAGAAAAATCATATAAAGCTGTGTCTATGGCCAAATCACTGATTCTCCAAATCAGAATCGAATCTTCAGATTCATCTCAATCAGTGAATCGAATCACTGTCTCCCAAATTGGGCTGAATCCAAATCTGAATCGAATATGGCCCACTTCGCACACCCCTAGTAGGCAACCACACTTTAAGTAATAGGTTTTCATTTGTTCCCGTATAGGTGGGAGGTTTATCTATGCAATGGCTTGTGCAAATTTGAAAACCGCCTGGGAAAATTCAGCCTCCAAATAATTAATACTTCATTCTTTGCACAAATAAGATGGACTTAAACACAAGCAAACAGGAATTCTTGTTTTGTCTCTGTATATTTGTTTGTATCCTGTTTTCTAATATTTAGCCCAAGAGCTAAAATAAACAACTGCTTCCTTTCAGGGATAAATTTAGGGATTACTTCCAAAACTTCAACAAGGCCTTTTACAAGATGGATAAAAATAGAGATAGCTATATAACAATAGATGGCCTGTGCAGGATACTGCAGGAATTAAACTATTCTCTCAATGAAGATTAGTTCAACCGCCTTCTATGCAGGTTTTCATTCATTCTCTTTGGGCCCAGTTCAGCAACATACTTAAGCATGTATTTCATTTAACATGTCCTGACAAAGTCAAGTACCTGCCTGCTTAAGATTACCCCTGTGTTTAAGTATTTTGCTAGACCTAGTGTCACAGGCCAGCTGGGCACTGTGAGTGGATCAATTTAGTTGCAGGCTGACTGAGTGCTGCAACTGTATCAGCCACTGGGCTGTTTGGTTTGGGATCGAGGAGGTGGAGTTGGGAGTGAAGCAATGACAAGTTTCACTTATAACAGTAAAAATGAATTTTAATTATAACAGCAAAAAATATAGTTTACACGTATAACAGTTAGTAAAAAGGTTAAGCTAATAAACAGACAACATAACAATAAAAGATAAAAGTTGGCAGTGATAATAAAAACAGACAGACAAATCAACAAAGAGTTCCCACTTGGTTAGCAACTTATCAATAGTCCCTCAGTGTCAGGTACAGTCAAGTTGATTCAGCGAAGTCAGGCATCCCCGATCCATGCTGTCAGAGGAAATACCAGGGAGGATCCCTCAGTCAGGATCCAGTCCTCGCTTGCTCTGGAAGTAAGGGATACGGGGGGCATGGGACAGCAATGACCATTCTGTTCCATCCTTCCTGCTGGTCACTTAACGTGCATGTTCTTTTATATCCTGTTCTATACTAATCTGTTGGCTATAGAGCCACTCACAATCTTACCCTATGGGGTTAAAAGGTGTTAGAAATCATTATAATAGGTTACCGCCCAAGCTTGGGTTTACCCAATAAGCAAATCACACCACATCACTTTGGGGTTTGAAATGAGCAATTTCCCACCCAAGTCCATCCTACTTAAATTTTTTTTAAGGTGTGTTAATTATACCTTGTGGTTAGGTTTGTTAATCTTACTGACCTTTGAGCAAAAATTTATTAAATCAGCTAAGTCTGCAGTTTCATTTTTTTAGTTCTGTTTTTTAAAACTTATGCCAGTCTCATGATTGATACAAAGTTATATATAACGTTATGGGTTATACTCCAGACAGGCCGGAAGCGTCTGCAGGAAGCAGTTTCATAAGCTCTATTTTTGCCAATATTTATTATGTGCCTTATCAGATACTCTCAAAAACCAGATTTAGGTCACCTGGTCGTAGAAGGAAATGAGATTGGTCAAGCAAGACCTACCCGCAACAAACCTGTGCTGGCTATCCCTTAAGATGTTGACATCGGCCAGTCCATTAAGGATGGCCTCTTTAATAAACTTTTCTAAGATCTTCCCTGGGATAGAAGTCAGGCTAATGGGCCTATAGTTAGCCGGATCCACTTTCCTCCCTTTCTTGAAGATAGGCACCACATTGGCCTTCTTCCTATGTCAATATTAAGATTGCTAGAATTTTTTTAATCCTACCAATATGTCAATATATACATTCTGTTTTGCATATGGATGTCATCAACACACATCAAGAAATAGAATCTCTTCTTTTAAGGTGTAAGGGGCATGAAGAACTTACTAATAAATATATCCAGTTTTCTGTCTTATGCAAACCCAACAAGACACATTCCTCAATGTCATTGGGTTTTGTTCTCAATCTACCATCAGACCAGACTTAAAAAAAATAACAAACTCTTTTCACAGTTCATCTTCAATTGAGTGATCAACTTTTTATGAATTGACACCCTAATAAGAATCTGCTGCTTGTTTCTTTCTCAAAGACCTCTTAATGATAAACACCTCCATTTGTTGTAATTTTGTGCAGATTATTCCTTTCTAGGTCCAAAACAGACTTCTCTAAATAATACAGAGTAGATTAGCATATGTATTTGGTTTTATTACTAAAATTTTAATGCCAACTTGGCAATTTATTTCTTTGCTGAAATGGTGTTGATTATTTCCTTTTCCACAGTGCCTCCAATAGCCAGCTTGACACTAGCAATACGTGGGAGTGATGTGCAGCTGCAAGATGCAAAATCAGGGCTCTTGAATGTATTTTCTTAGTAGCAGATATTGGGTCTGTGTTTAATTTATTTTCCAGCTTGTTTTCATAATGCTTCTTTTTTATTTAACCGACTCTCTGTATTAATTAGACATTCTTATAACTGGATACTCTGGTGATTGGTGGCTTAGGCATTGGTCCTCAGTGATTTGCGATGAAAACAGATGACAAGGCTACATTACAGTAATTTATTCTATTACTAGGGAATATCAGACTATGGGACCACCTACTAGTAAGTCCTTGATGCTTCATGGCCTGCTTTCCCCACAATACCTGTAGCAGTTGTCAGTGATTTATCACAGCATGTTTTATCACAGCACAACAAATGTACTCACTGCTCATAGAATTATCTCTAGATAGTCTTTGGGTGAGATCCTACTCTCATTTATCCCGGGTAAACCTGACTCCAGTGGAAGCCAATGGATTTCCACTTTGACTAATTTCCTAGCAAATTCTATGAACAGACTGTACTGGATGTGTACTGGGGTAAGTGACAGAAAAATTTGCTCTTTGATATTGTGACTTTTTTGTGGTTCTGAACTCCGCAAGCTGACCCTTACCTGGCCCTCTGTATTAAAATTAGACATTCTTGTACACTACAAGTCAGAACTATTCCTTTTTCTTTGTTGTAAATCTAGTAAACATTGTTTCATTTAATGGCTTTTTATCATGAAGCACTGGAAAAAGGCTCTTTAAAGAATTAAGTAATTTTATCCACTCCCCTTCTAAATCTTCTCTTTTTCATTCTAAATAATGCAGTCTATCTACAAATGTAAGTCTTGTCTTAATTCTAGTTTTTTTATGGTGAAACATTCTTGAAGTAATAGGAAGAATGCAGTTTTGTAAAGAAGTCCTCTGCAAAACATCTCAAAACCCCAAGGCAAGAATGCTTTTCCCATGCTGCTTTTTGATGCAAAAATGTATTTGCTGTTTATACCTGGAGCTATCTATAAGCATGCGTGTAACCCACTGAATTTCCTCTGTGACAACGAGCAGTTCTCTTCAGTGCCTGTGATGTGCCAGATACTACTAAAAAATGTGAGAGCAGACTTCAGGGAGTTCAGGCCAGATTCTCCAGTACAATCTGGCCCTAGCCAGCCAAACACAGAATTCTCTGTTGTGGAAGGATTTCTCCAGTTCCTGTGCAAGGCACTCCAACTTTCAGACCAATGCGCAGGCTGAGGGAGAAAGAATATATGTCAGAGGCAGAGTAAGGCTGACCTCTACTATACTGTACTTTCACTTGTCTCTGACACCTTACAGAAGTGGCTTAGGTTAAAACAGCCCATCAGCTGCTTGGTTATTGCCAGTGGTGCAGTCAGGAAGCTGTAAAAGGTGCCATGGTGACCCTATGTCAGATGGACCTCAAATACCCTTCCATTACATGAAGACTTGATTTGCTTTCCTACCACTTGATGAATAGTAGGTAGTTTGTCCAGTGGCTAAAAACAGAAGACCGGGAGTCAGAACTCCTGAGTTCCATCCCTGGGAGTAACTGCCTAGATGATTTTCTTAGGATTGATTTTTGGATGTGCACAGCAGGGGAAAGTCCTGCCAAAAGCAATAGGAAACACAAGCACCTTTGAAAATCAACATAACAATCTTTCTTTCTCTCAGTTGCCTTGTCTTTAACACAGTGATAATGAAGCTTCATAGGGTATTATGAAGCTCAAGTAATTCTTCAAAAGCATTTTTAGATTCTGGGACGAAAAGACTTTTGTACAGGGCAAAGTGCAAACCATCTTTTTGTTCTTGTTTGCACAGTGTTTAATACAATGGAGTCCTGGACCCTGACTGGGGCTCCTGGACACATGTCAGAAAGCAAATAATAATCCATATAATTAATTAGTAGCATTAATAATGGGAAACATCTTTTAAAAATGTGGTATCTGATTCTGGTTTTTTCCCCTTAGCTTAGGAATCAGCATTCATGACAGCAAGCTCTCTTATGTTGATTTCCTGAGAGCCTTTGATGATAGCAGAGCATCTAAATACCAGCAGAGACAAAAGCAGGCTGCACCACCTGCAAGTTGCACAATGCTCAGCTTAAAAAAGACCCTAAGATCAAAGAAATAGTTACATCTTCATACGATTTGTTATACAAGGTAAGTTGTATGTGGCCAGAACATGACATTTTTTGTCTAGCTGGGTCCAGCCCAGTTGTTTGCTGCTCAGAAAGGGTGCCCCAAATCCCAGAGCAGTAGAAGCAGGGTTCACTATAAAAGTATCATGTTCAGTCTTATGGGAGAAAGCATCTATCTTAGTTCTGTAGCATTAGCTCCTGGTAGTTACAGGAAGCAATAACAATAAGCCTAGAGCTCTGGGAGGGGAAAGACTGGGGAGTAAAAAAGAAAAAATGGGATCTCAAAGCCGTCCTACAGAATTAATTAGTCCTGTATGAATTGGGCTCTTCCAAATTGCCACTCACATCTTACAGCTTTCCTGAGCTGGGATTTATTACACATAGAGACAACATCATGGGGTGGTGGGTCATTATGATTTACCAGCATGAGCTAAGAAAGCTCATTTTACCATGGAGTTACACAGGCCATCCCAGAGGCAGGGTCTAATCTACTGAATAGACTTTTAGACTGGACATCTAGAAGTGTTCCATTATCAGCTCTGCTCTTGAATTTCTTGGAGGTTTTGGAAAAGACACTTACCTTCTTTGTGCCTTGGTTTCCCCACTTGGAAAATGGGGAGAATAATAATTGCCTGTCTTTAAATAGCATTTGGAGATGTCTTTGGAAGAAAAGTGTCATGCTTTATTTTGTAGTCACTACTATAATCCTCAAATCTCCTGAAACCCTGAAACCAAAAGGAGACATAGAAGTGCCCAATAGAAACATGTTAGGATTAGTCTTAAGGATAGGGAAGAACAATCAATGAGACCTTGATGGAAGCATTCCCCTTCCATAAATAGAATCACAGGGCCAAGTGAGCTGAATGGACACTTTGGTTGTGAGAAGTGACATTCACATGTTTATAAATGATGTCAGAGGGTTAAAAAAGGTTCTGTTTCCTTGAAGGTTGTCTCCATTTTGATCTGCCCAGACCCATATTTAGTTTAAGAATTACTTATTTTAGACCTTGGATGCTGCTAATTATACCATGCCACAGGAGCACTCATGCAGTAGTTGCTGTTAAGTATTTTCAACAGTGCTATGCATTATAGAATTATAGAAAATTAGGGTTGGAAGGGACTTCAGGAGGTTTCATAGTTTCATAGTTTTAGGGTCGGAAGGGACCTAATAGATCTTCTAGCCCGACCCCCCGCCAGGGCGGGAGAACAACAAAAGAACCCAAAACAAAAAACGGGACTCAAATGAATCCAGCCAGGTAGGTATCCAGCCTCTTCTTAAAGATCCCCAGGGTAGGGGCCAGCACCACCTCCCTTGGAAGTTGGTTCCAGCTCCTAGCCGCCCTAACTGTGAAGTAGTTTTTTCGGATGTCCAATCTGTACCTCCTCTCCATCAACTTGTGCCCATTACTCCTTGTTATGCCAGCGGGGGCTAGGGGAAACAGTGTCTCCCCCAAACCCTTCTGGTTCCCCCTAGTGAGTTTATAGACGGTCACCAGGTCCCCCCTCAGCCTTCTCTTGTGGAGGCTGAATAGGTTCAGGTCCCGCAGTCTCTCACTGTAGGGTCTGCCCTGTTGTCCCCAGATCATGCGGGTGGCCCTCCTCTGGACCCTCTCCATGTTGTCCACATCCCTCCTGAAATGGGGCGCACAGAACTGGACACAATACTCCAGCTGCGGCCTGACCAGCGTCGCATAGAGGGGGAGGATCCCCTCCCTGGCTCTACTCGAGATGCACCTGTGGATGCACGACAAGGTCCGGTTAGCCCTGCCAACCATGACCTCTCATTGTCGGCCCATGTTCATCTTGGAGTCAATAATGACACCAAGATCCCTTTCCGCCTCCGTGCTCTCAAGTAGGGAGTTTCCCATCGTATAAGTGTGCTGCTGGTTCCTAATACCCAAGTGCAGCACCCTGCACTTGTCCGTATTGAAACACATCCTGTTCCTGTTTGCCCACCCCTGTAACCTATCCAGATCCTTCTGCAATCTCTCTCTCCCTGCTAGCGTGCTCACCTCCCCCCAAATTTTGGTGTCATCAGCGAATTTAAACAGGTTGCTTTCCACCCCAGCATCAAGATCGCTGATGAAGAAATTGAACAGCGCAGGCCCCAGGACCGAGCCCTGGGGGACTCCACTACCCACCTCCCCCCAAGTCGAGTATGATCCATCCACCACCACCCTCTGAGTGCGACCCTTCAGCCAATCTGCAATCCATCTGACTGTGTAGGCATCTATGCCACAGTCGCCTAGTTTATTAATTAGGATGGGGTGAGAGACGGTGTCAAAGGCCTTGCTGAAGTCCAGAAAGACTACATCCACCGCGACACCTGCGTCCATGGCCTTTGTGACCTGATCATAAAAGGCAATCAGGTTGGTCTGACATGATCTCCCCCTAATAAGTCCATGCTAGGTCATCTAGTCCAACCCCAAATATAGATATAGGACTCTCAATAGCACAGCATAGCATTTATATTAAATATTACTTGTGCCCACTTGTGTTGAATTCTCTCTCACTTACTGGACAGCCAAAGTACATCTTGCAGTAAACTCAGAGTTACCTGACTAAAAAGTAGGAACGATTCTATTACTGTCTCTCAGTGTGTAAGCGCCCCCATTATAGGAATCAGATTGCCCAACAGAAACATGCAGATATCTCTTTATTCTTATAATGGGAGCACTTACACACCTGGGCACATCTATATGTGCACTTTAATGAGCATTAACCTATTTTAATGCACGTTAAAGCATCACAAAAACCATGCTCTTTAGCTAATAATGCACATTAAAATAGGCTAATATGCATTTTTCTAGTACCTGACAATGGAGGTACTAGATTTCATGCACATTCTGTAAAGCACATCAATGAACGTGTAGATACCCCCCACCTCCTCAGCGTGGGTAATAGACTTCTCCTACATTTTTGTGGTGTAACTCAGAACTGGTTGCAAACTGTACTTTGATTATAGGAAATAGAATCCCACACTGTCTATCTTGTCAGGAAAAAACAGCTTTTGATCCTAGCAAAATTTGGGGAGGCAGACTCTGCTTTGTCAATGGAGATAGTAATTTGGAGGTTATGTGATACAAGAGCCCATCCTTTGATATGAAACAGCTTCTGTCTTATCGTTTAGCTCGGAAAGGCTAGAAATAGGTGTCACCTAATGATGTGGATCACCTGTGTTGCAATTTGTCATGGCACAACCAATCCACTTCATTGGGCAAAACACATCACCACTCGTCCTGTCCCAGGTGGTGTGGGAAAGGGGGTGATATGATATCCCTTCTTTCCCCGCTCAGTCAGACCCACTCCCCCATGATCAGGGCGGGGATGGGGAAGTGGTGTCACTTCTGCAATCACAGGAGATAGGTCTGGGTGAGCAGGGAACCCCAGTTTCCACACTTATGAAGAGGCATGGGTGCCCAGGGTTGCTGGAAAGTATGAGCAGCTCACACTGCAGCTCACTACCTTTTGTTGCACCTCTGATTTTCCTTTGATGTGGTGCAACACAGTGTAATAATGTCTATTAACTTGCTATTTGTACCACTCTAAACTTTTTTATGGTGGCACAAATGAGATGTCCAGCAATGTCTGTTTCCACCCTCAAAAACCAGGACTTTGTCCAAGAAGAATCATGTCAAACACCCTTGTGTGGGAGAGTATGATAGCTTCCCTCTCCTTTCTGAGGCCTTTCACAGTTACTTAAAGAGATGTACTAAACAACCTGGTCTCAAAAACAGGAAAAGGTGAAGTTAAAAGTGGAGTTTAGTACAGTTCAGTTTACAAACCAAAAACCATCACCAAATTTTCTTTAAAAAAATCTATTCTTCAGACAAAACACAAAAAGTCTTCAAATGAATAGTTAAGTTATATAGCTGGAACCTCTCTGCAATGTATTCATTTCCCAGTCATCTTTACCATGCCTGGGTTACACTGCCTACCCCAACCTTGACTATCCCATCATTGTGAAAAAAATATAGGCCAAGATTAAAAGAATACTGTTACATATTCAAGGGATCTATTTATAATATGAAGTGTATTGCAGAATTACTTTAGCAAATAATGTCAAGTTTTCTGTATATACAATAGTTAATGTTATTAAAATATGAAGCCATTATTTATAATAATGTTCATAAAAATGCTCTTCAACCTATGAAGCCATGAAGAAACATATAGAACTTTGCCATAATTGTGACTGGGACTATCTTAATTTCAAAACTTGTATGACATTTAAATCAATTGTTTTTATATCTTGCATCTTATGCCTATTACAGACTAAAATAAGGTGACAGAATTAAATTGGGTTGGTGGTACTAATTGAGTGGGTGGCATAGGGAATGCCTAGCAGTTGATTGCCTCCTGATATCTTCTTTTGATACACTCAGGTTGCCTGAAATTGGCCATACCTCCTCTAGTTCTTTGCATTCTCTTAAATATCCTGTGTTGGAATGGAATCCAGGATGCAATGAAATTAATCCATTTCCTCTGGACTAAAGAGTCATTGGAAAACTCCCCCTAAACACACGGAACAGGTACTATACCAGGTAAAGCACGAATGCAGGTACTAAAATGAGAGGTCATGTGCTCATCTCTCATCTATGCCTTTAAACAGAAGAAGAAAACCTGAGAATGGAGGTACTTCTCAAAGCACATGTCGACACGTGCATTTATGCCATCTTAAATTTACTGTGAGGCTTCCAATTCAATTCAAAGAGATTAATGGGTCTTCTGATTTGATTCAGATTCAGAGATTCAGCCACCGAATTGGGCTGAATCTCCTCCAAATCAAATAAGTGACCGAAGCTTTGCATGGTCTAGTGTGGACTGACTTGGAACTAAACTTAGTCCCAAGTCAGTCCACACACAAAGTGTTACTGTTCAGTAACTAATTGGGTGTAAATTTGATACCTGCATGATCCAGGTATCAAATTTACACTCAAGTCAGTTTAATGTGCACTATGGGTGTGCATGTGTGCCTGTACTGCTCAGTAATTTTGGTTACTGCGCGGTAAAGGCACACATGTAGATGTGCCCAAAATGTATTTTTGGCAGTAGAGAAAGTTAAGATAACGTCAGTAGAACAGCCAGTCAGAAGTCTTCAGATGCTGCAAAATAGGTACAAACTAGTACACTCAATCAGTTCAATTTCTCCTTACTTAAGACAGACATCTCAAACATTTTTGTTCATTTCTTTTTTTGTCTGATAGATCATAGTTGCATAGTTGGGTATTTTGAAATAATTTGCTATAAAATGTCTACCTGCTCTTACCACGTATTTAGCCTTTAGAAGATGTTGTAATTTAGTGAAAGATGTGTTTGTTTAATGCACATGAATATGGTATGATTTTTGTTTGATTTTATAGAAATGCTGTTTGATTTCAGAATAGTCGGTAACTGTCCCATCCCAGTAGGACTTCATCAAAATGGTTCAAACTCCTTTTGTTTCTTCATATGCAAAATGCCTGTAGATCTCGTTCAATTATAAACATTGGCCACTAATAAATGGCAATGCTAAAAGGAAAACGGTTTTGATATACTAAATGTTTTTACAGTGACTTCCCTCTTTATTTTCTTAGGCTTTTTCCTTGTTTGCTATGGATGGCACTGGGTTAGTTAAAGTGCTGGAGTTCCATCAGGTACTTGACCATTTCTGTTTTAAATTATCGAACAAACAATTCAGGCACCTTTTCAAGAAGCTGAAGCTCTGTGAACCACACACAGTAGATTGGAAAATTTTCTTGCATAATATTCGCCTCCTCTCAGACGTAAGAAAATTTAGCAAGCTATAGGATGTTTCATTGAAAGATGAACCCAGACCCCTTCAAAATGAATGAATGAAAAGACTAGGCATGTTCAATACTCAGATGCTGGCATCTTTTTTCTGTTGGCACTCATCCTTATGAGTTCCCCCATGTAGGCAAACCCTTGGATCGACAGGAATTTGTTTGCAGCATTGTTGCCATAAGATGCTAATTTGGGATGGAATTGGATGCAACTTCCTCTGTGGAAGATCTCTTGATGTCTGTGGATGTTGAAGGTTCTATTGAGTAAGCAGTGAGTTAAGAGAAATGAATAGAAGTCTACTAAACATGGCTTTCAATGGTTAGTCAAATATTTTGCTATGAACAAAAGTATTATAACATGAGTGGCAAGTATACATCTCAGAAGTTCAAATTCTGAGGGCTTATCTACCTAAGGAAGTTGACACAGATTAAAAGAGTGTATTAAGTTAAAACAGAATCAGTCTTGTTGATTATCATCTTGTGTGAAATCTCTCTTTCTAGTATATGGGCCCCTTTTTCCAAATTAGGTTAATCCACTTGCAAAGCAAATTGAGATAAGCTAGTTTAAGGACAATTTCACTCTGATTTTGTGTGTCCAGAAAAGTATTTAATGTGGTTTATCCAATCCATCTTAACAACGTATTCATATTAAACTTCCTGAATATTCTCAGCCCCGAGTAAATATAAAGGAAATTTAAATTGGCAGAAATTACAACTGTTTCTGATGTCCTCAGTGAGCACGTTGCACCAATTTAAACTTCCTCTACACTTGCTTAAGATTCACTTCCATTTAATTGTGCCTGAGTCTGGTTCCTATGGGCAGACACTTGTGACCACATGGATTCCTATTCAAGTTTCTGGCACTCCACACAAATGTGTGTCTGTCTGCACAGATCAGATTTCAGCACTGAGACTTTAGTAACGCTTCCCTGCATGTAATAATTAACAGAAGTACATGTGGTGGGCCAGTAGGGGGTGCTCCTGCATTGAGCCACCCACCTCACTGTGCCCGACCACCTTCCAGGTTCCGAGTGCCTCCCTGGGGGCGCCTCTCGTTTGTCTGACCCCCTTCCTGGACCACACCCACTAGCCTGGGGGTTCCACTGCCACCACCCAGGGCTGGGCTTGATTCTGGATTTGTGCACCCTGGGCAACACAGGCCTAGTAGCCCTCAAGGGTACTTGATTCACTTCAAGAACTTGGGATGCTTCCCTCAGTCAGAAGCACAAGTAGCGGTCTCCCTTAGTCAGCCGGACCAAGGGAACCCCCAGGCATAATCTAGACCCACTCCCAATAAGTCTCCCACACTAGGTACAAAGGAGAACTTTATTGGTTACAAAGGGTAGGGTTAGAATAGGGTACAGGGTAGAGCAATAGCAGAGAAATCCCATAAAGCAAACTCCCCTGGCTGGGTAGCCTTTGATCACGCATCTGAGTTATTGCAAGTTATATATCTCATTAGATCTCAGGTAGCTCACAAGTATCATCCAGAGGCAGGTGGAGATTCCCTTTGGAGACAGACAGTTCCTTGATCATGAGTTTTGAGAGAGAGAGCAAGTTTCAGATGGTTCAGCTCTTCTCACTCTCTGAGTCTTCCTCATGGCTGTTGCCCCCTCCTCCTGGGCAGTCCTTAACTTATATAGCCCTTGTGACCTCATTTACCTGGTCCAATGGAGGCCAGGACCTGTTGGCTGTCAGCCAACCAATTTGAAATGCATCACTAGTTGCTGGGCAGTCTGGCAGTTGCTAACTCCCCAGGGAGTCCAAGCCCCTCACCGAGGTATGATACCAGTCACATAGGCAGAGGAAGCAGGTTTCCCCCCTCCCTCAGGAATGTATCCAGCTTAGGTTACCTAAAGAGATAGGGTAAGGTGTGTATCCTCTGCTGGGCCCATCCTAACCAAATTGTCACAGAGCAGAGTTTTTAGGGAGAAACAGAGGTGGCCTTCCGGCACAGTATGTAAGAAACTATGGGCTAAAGAAGTCATTATCTTGTTTTAATATACATATTCCTTCACCTTCTTCTAGTTCCTTTGTATGTCTTACTACAGATTCCTTACACAATGGTGAGTGAGTGTAAGTGAATCCAAGCAGAGGCATAACTCGGCAGGGACGTAGTAGTTAGGCATAGGACATGGACTGCCAGTGGTAGGGGTAGCTACAATTTTTGTGTCTTTCCTAAGTTGGTGCCCAGGGTTAATGTGTCTGTCCCCTCTGCTCCCCCCTCCCCCTGTGCTTAATTTGTGCCAAAGTATAACGGAGTTTAAGCTACGCTACTTTGCAGTTCATTCATGGATTTGGCCAAAAGCAAGAAAAACATTTTGTGTGTGTTAACAAAGTAGTTCTAAAAATGTAATATAACTTGCATCATATTCTTTAAAGAAGCAGCTACTGGTAACATTTGCACAATAACGCTTGAAGCACAAATAAAATGAAAAAAATTCCACATGACCACCCAATGGAAAAAAAACCATATAAAAAGCCTTTCACTTTATTACTATGGCAACAATAGAATGTTGTGCAAAACAAATCCATATAGAACTATATGGTAATTAAATATTATGTCATAAAGTAGCAACTGAAAAGCCAATGTGATCTTTATTAAATGTCTGTTTATATTCCAAATCAAAAAGTCTGTTAGAAATTAAATAACTGCAAGGTTTGTTTTGAAGAGGAAAAGAGCACTTGCAATTTTAACATCAAGAACGACCCATAAAAAGCTTCAAAATGTTTGTAATGTACTGCAGACTTTATAGATTTATAGGCATGTCAGCTGCTAATAGAAGTTGTTAGATTTATGATAGTGTTTATTATAAGTGTAACTGTGACCCATTTTATAAATTGGCTTGAAATATATATTTTGATTTTGATTTTTGTGAATTTAGCATTTACATTTACAGTATTGTATCTTTTACCACATCCCTTATAACAGGCAATGCCTAGTTAAATACAGGTGGAGGAAAAGTAATTTTATTTATAGTTCTTTTTAAAAAGCCTGTTGATATTATTTTTCAATATTTAAATTTTCCAACATATTACCAAAATGAAATTTTATCTAACATTATGACGTAGATTTACAAGTGTGATCTATTGTGATCTACGCAGATATAGGTTTAATAATAGTCGATTTCTGTTTACTTCATGTTATGCCTGTGTAACATTGGATTTCAATGGAGTGATGCCAGTGTAAATCCTCTTGTAGGAAAGAGGTTGATCAGTCCCAACAGATGTGTTGTTTTTAAAGCAGTATATGTGTATGTTATTGTAACAGTCCTTTGGCAAGTTTTAAAGTTAGTTAAGTTTGATAGCCAAGTTTTTATTCTATTGTATCTTGATCCTCAAGAGGCTCTCTCACCAACTGCTTTTGTACTCATTGTTTCAAGATGCTGAGCATTTTCCTTCCAGGGAAAAGGAGGATACCCAGTATCTTATAGGAGCTGCTCAGGTCTCTGTACAGAAGTTTGGTTGGTTTTTTTTTTTAACTCAGTGAATTAAGCCTTTTCTGTGCCACAGGTGGATTAGACAGGATACGTCCATCAGTCAAAATCCAAATCAGGCCAAAAGGGGAAATTAAAAAAATTAAAAAGCACCAGATCCATAAAATGGTCTCCGCCATTTTGAGTTCAAACTAAAATTCCCTTCCTTTGTAATGTCATCCCATCCTGGGGTCAGCATTCATCCCTAGATGAACATGCAATCAACAGAGGAGACTAGATATTAAAATATTCACTTCATCCAAATAAGCAGCAATTTTGACTTGTAAAGTATGTAGCTAAATTAATGACCTACGCAGCTCTTTTAGGCACATTATGGAACATGATCATTATGTTATACAACTTGATCATTGAAGTATATTAAAAAGTAACAAGTAAAATATTCAGCTTGATCATTAAAGTATGGAAAATTTACTGAACTAGTAAAGTCTGAGTTGGGGATGACTTTTGTCTTGAATGGCACCTCATAAATAAAACCCTAAACCACAAAGGCAAAAATTCACAAAACCCAAAGCCATACAGTTTTAAGATATATTTTATGCTTTGAAAACAGCTGAATAAGGGGAAGAAAGAAAATCTTGAGGAATTTCTAAATGTTTTAGTTTTCATGAGTCTTTTGATGGCTTTGGCACAGGCTAATCAGCTTTATGTTCTGATTAATTATACGTAGTATACACTGCAGCTTCTGTAGGACTCACTTGATAGGGACAATTGAGAAGTCAGCTGAATCTCAGTTTTCTGGAGAGGTGCACTTTCAAAAAACAGATCATGTAGCTGCATCTTAGAATATGCTTCATCACCCTTTTGGATTAGCCTGTCATGCTCATCAATGACCTGGGTAGACCTCTTCCACATAAAATAAAGAGCCTAGTGCACTACTCAGAATTTTCCTGCTGGAAACTGCATCTAGGGATCAGACCTAGAAATAGTAAAGTATTCAAAGATCTACTGAACTAGGAAAGGAGGCTCTTTGATTTGGGATGGGTGGGAAAGGTTAAAATAACTATTAAAACAGCTACCAGATCCAGAAAATATACTTTTCACTTGGGCATCAATACCAGATTAATAGAAAAAGGAGAGGAAAAAAACTTAAGGAACAGGAGTTATGCATGGGTGGGTCCAACTCTGTGCTCATCATCTTGGCTTCATTGAGAGTTGAGGATACTCAGTGACTTGGTAGAAAACTCTCTATATCTTTAACACCTAGGTCAAGCAGTGAACAGAAGATGCCAAAATGAATGTGAGGGAGGAAAAGAAAGGGAACACTGCTCAGGCTTATTGATGGACGTAAATTTAACTGGCAGGGGATTTGTTGACATGTGAAGAAGGGGTGAAGCTAACAATTTACTTAGTAGAGCTTGTGAAAAACCAGATAACTTCCACTCCAAAGAACTCACTGGTGCACAAGATTGGATTCGCTCTTGCTTGCTCTGTTTCAAAGTCACCTCAGGGAGCTGCTTGTTTGGGACCCCTGCAGGCTTGTCCCAT